TCTTAGTGTCACCCAAGAAGATGGTGCTGGCCTCAGCAGCAGTCCCACCTCTGAGTAGGGAGACATCTTTCCCCTTTATTACTTGTCTTAGACACAGAACCTTTTCCTCACTCACTCATCCTCCCACTCTCCGGGTTGCTACATCAAAATTAGGAACTAACTTTTCATTGATCTATTAACTCTTGGGTTCGTACTTTTTTTTTTTTTTTTTTTTTTTTTGCGGTACGCAGGCCTCTCACTGTTGTGGCCTCTCCCGTTGCGGAGCACAGGCTCCGGATGCGCAGGCTCAGCGGCCATGGCTCACGGGCCCAGCCGTTCTGCGGCATGTGGGATCGTCCCGGACCGGGGCACGAACCCGTGTCCCCCACATCGGCAGGCGGACTCTCAACCACTGCGCCACCAGGGAAGACCCCGTACTTCTTTGAGTAGGTCTTAAATATTATTGGCTCATCTGCTTTGTCCCCGGGGAGACAGAATTTAGTGAAACACAAGCATTCATGTGGTCAAGTCATGCTGAATTTAACAATATTGGTGCTTTTCTTTTTCTTATCATGGGACTCACAGTCCGTGAGCAACTTGATACTTGCTCTTCCTTGCCTGTCTCCTAAGGTAAGGTGACCACAAGTAGAACTTTAGGAAGTCTTCTCTGTGCTGTTAACAACCTTGAGACATGATCATTCATTTTGGGCTTCTTTCATAAGTGCTTTGTGGCAGAAGTGGAGAAAGAGCTTCCTCTGCAGAATCGTGAATTGAAGTATTAGCTAAACATATACTTTATTGTATTTTAAAGGGAAAATGATATTTTTACAGCAGAGTTTACAAATTTGGGGATACATGAAGATCTTTTTATATGTCTCTTGCAAATGTCAAGAGTCTCTTGGATCTAGAAATTATGTTTATATACGTCTGTCTTTCCTGCTCAGCCTGCACTGCCCGATATTATAGCCAATAACCACATCTAGCCTTTGAGCATTTAATGTGGCTGGTCTCAACTGAGATGTACTATAAGTGTAAAATACATACCAGTTTTCAGACTTGATAAAAAATCATGAATGCAAAGTATAGTTAGTAATTTTTTAATTGATTGCCTGTTGAAATAATATTTTAGATATATTGGGTTAAATAAAATATATTTAAATTTTTTTACTTTTTACTTTTTTTTTTAAATGAATGAGTTTTCCTGTTATTCTACATTCCTGCTAGGACTGGTATTTTCAGCTTTGTTTGTTTGTTTGGAATGTAACCATTCTAATCAATGTGTAGGATTTCTCATATCTGTTATTTTCTTATAATCTCCTTATTATCAGGGTCTTTGTATATGATTTTTTTCCCATTTGTATATCTTGTATGGTAAGGTGTCTATTTGTATACTTGCCCGTGTTTTTTAACCCTTTGACTCCTTTCACCCATTTCTCCAGGCACTCACCACACACCTCTGGTGACCACCAATATGTTCTCTGTATCTATGAGCTTGTTTTTTGTTTTGTTTCTTTGTTTTTGATTCCACATATAAGAGAGATCAGAAGATATTTGTCTTTCTCTACCTGACTTATTTCACTTAGCATAATGCCCTCAAAGTACATTTATGTTGTTGCGAATGGCAAGGTTTCCTTCTTTTTTATGGCTGAATAATATACCATCATAAGTATGTGTGTATGTGTGTGTATACACACACACACACAGAGGCAACAATTTCTTTATCCATTCATCCATCAGTGGACACTTAAGTTGTTTCCATGTGTTAGCTATTGTAAATAAGACTTCAGTGAACATGGGGGTGTGAATATCTTTTTGAGTTAGTGTTTTCACTTTTTTTAGGTAAATAACCAGAAGTAGAACTGCTAGATCACATGGTAGTTCTATTTTTAATCTTTTGAGGAACCTCCATACTGTTTTCCATAGTTGCTATGCCAATTTACATTCCCACCACATTCCCACCAACAGTGCACAAGGGTTCTCTTTTCTCCACATCCTCGCCAATGCTTGTTATTTCTTGTCTTTGATAATAGCTATTCTAAAAGGTTTGAGGTGATATCTCATTGTGGTTTTGATTTGCATTTCCCTGATGATTAGTAATGTTAAGCATATTTTCATGTACCTGTTGTCCATCTCTATGTCTTCTTGAGAAGAATGTCTATTCAGATCTACTGCCCATCTTTTAATCAGATTGCTTTTGCTGAGTTGTATGAGTTCTTTATATATTTTGGATATTAACCCCATATCAGATATATGATTTGCAAATATTTTCTCCCATTCAGTAGGTTGCCTTACATTTTGTTGATGGTTTCCTTTGCTAGGCAGGAAGTAGAAGCCTTTTAGTATGATGTCCCACTTACTTATTTTTGCTTTTGTTGTCAGATTCAAAAAGTTATTGCCAAGACCTATGTCAAGGAGATTACTGGCTATGTTTTCTTCTAGGAGTTTTATGGTTTCAGGTCTTACATTTAATTCTTTAATCCATTTTGAATTTAGTTTTGTGCATGGTGTGAGACACTAGTCTAGTTTTGTTCTTTTACATGTAGCTGTCCAGTTTTTCCAACACTATTTATTGAAGAGACTGTCCTTTCCCCATTGTATATTCCTGGCTCCTTTGTCGTGAATTAATTGACCATATATGTGTGGGTTTATTTTTTTTTTACTTTTTTAATATGGTTATTAGATCATTTAAAATTACTTATGTAGCTCATAGTATATTTCTATTGGACAGAGCTGATCTAGACTCTAGGTTCCTTGAGGCCAGGGACAGTGCCTGCCACATGTTAATTAAATGCTCGATGCATGTTTGATAAATCAAACTGTTGAAATGAAATGAATGAACAGATGAGAATTATAACAATTTTTTTAAATAGTTCTTTTGACACTGTGGATTTAGAAGGTGATAGGCCAGGTGAGATGGATTTTGTCAGTAAATCTTAAAATGTTTATTAATTGTCCCTGGTGTATGGGACTGAAACATACATTAAAAGAGATGCAAGTGCGGGCTGCAACTGCCATCTCATGAGACATTCAGATATCCCCTGTAGGCTGACCTGATTTTGCCACCCATGATTCCTTTGTTCAAGTGCCTTATATAATCCAGAAGTTTGTTCAAGAATGATCTATTTCTAGAGAGGATTTTTCCTTTGTGCCATTTAGCTGTGGTTCTCAGACTTTAATGTGCTTAAGAATCACTTGCAAAACCTGTTACAAATGCAGATTCCCAAACCCATTTCCAGAAATTCTAGTTCAGTAGGTAAGGGATGGGGCCCAGGAATCTTCACGTTAACACCCCAGAAAATTCCTGCGTAACTGACTTGTAAGCAATACCGTGAGGAACACTGCTGTATGGCATCATAATCTGGGAATAGCCTGAAAGTTCAGGAAAAGGGCAGTTTGTTTAGTGATTTTTATTATCTATTATACTATAAAGAACTCATTGTTAAATATATTAATAATCAAAAATTAATCAAAAAATTGCAGCAAACAGAACAATCAACAGTGAAAAGGCAACCTACCAAATGGGAGAAAATATTTGCAAACCATATATCAAAGAAGGGGTTAATATCCAGAATATATAAAGAACTCCTATAATACAATAACAAAAAAATTACCCAATTAAAAAAATAGGCAAAGGACTTGAATAGACATTTCTCCAAAGAAGATATGCAAATGGCCAAAAAGCACATGGATGCTCTCCAGGAAGAAGAGAGATGCTGGTTACGGGATGCTGTCATTTCAGAGGCATCCGGACACTCTAAGAAAATGTCCTTCCTCTTTCCTGTCCCCATACCTGAAGCCTGGAATATCAACACCTCAATTGCGTTCCCTCAAAACATTTTTTAAAAGCCTTGGAGAGACTTCCCTGGTGGTCCAGTGGCTAAGACTGCGCGCTCCCAATGCAGGGGACCCAGGTTCAATCCCTGGTCAGGGAACGATCTAGATCCCACATGCTGCAACTAAAGAACCTGCATGACGCAAATGAAGATCCTGCATGCGGCAGCAAAGATCCCATGTGCTGCAACTAAGACCCGGTGCACCCAAATAAATAAATTAAAAAAAAAAAAAGCCTTGGAAACTCTGATCATTTTAGGGATCCTGGTTGTTAGGACCCTTTCTGAGGCAGAGGGAGAACGATTGGGTTTATGTTGTTGAAGTAGCCAGAGCATTCACACTCTGAGCATTCACTCCAGTGGCCAGCAGTCTGTGTCTGGTCAGAGGCCATTCCTTTAGGTAGCGAACTCTCCGTTCTTTCCAGTAACTGGTAGGCAAGTGTGGCTGGGCTGGCTGTCTCTGCCCCTCCCTGGGGTTGGCTAGCTCCCACGAGGGGGGCAAGTGGAATGAGGGGCAAAGGCATCAAGTGACTCCCATATTTACTAATGAGATGAAAATACAGTACTTGGTTGGTCAAAACTGAAATAATCTCATTTTCCTCCTTTGTACGCTTCTTGGTATCTTGTTCTGGGTTATCAATTCTTTTTGTTTGTTTTTGCAATGTGTTGGTTTACCTTCTAGAAATACTGATTATGAAAGATTTAAAATCTGTAAAGAGACAGATGCAGTATACTCACCACCTAGCTTATCAAAGAAAATATTATGGGTACAAAGTCCCTGTATACTCCTCTCAAATAATATTCCGCATCCCCACTGCAGTGGTAACTGCTGTTTGGAATTTAGTGTTCGTCCTTCATATGCAATTCTTTATACCTTCACTCTATAATTGTATATTTCAACAATATAGAGTATTGTTTGGAATGTTACGGTCTCATATTTTATGTAGTCTTTTGCAACCTGCTTTTTTCATTCCACTTGCCTGTTCACTTCTTAAACTTCATTGAGGATATTTCTTCCAGTGTTACTTAACTAAACTACTCTAGACATTGGGGTACAGTGATACTGTGTAATAATGTTTGGCCCCCAAGATACAACTAGAAATGGCTTAGATTGAAAAACTTTATATGTGTCAAATTAATGTATAATTATAATATAGTGTGTAACTGTTAAACATATTTGTTTTATTTCAGGTTATAATATAACTTATCCTCTCATGCTTTTTCCCTGTCCCTTCTCCCCAAATCATCAACAGTAGAAAAGGAAGAAGAAGGAAACATGTCAGGACACAAATGGTAAGTAATTTGTTGTCTCTTCTGAATTGGGAGAGGCTAGTGAAAGAAGAAAGCATGTAGTATATGCTCAATAAATGTCTACTGAATGGAAAAATCAAGAGTCACAATAGCAGTAAATAACCTGTTAGCCTATACCCAATGTTGAGTATAGTCAAGTTTTCAGTATCCCTACTAAATGTAATATGAAAACCAATAATCAAAAATATTCTCTAAGAAATTCATTTATGTGTAACTTTCTCCTGGGAATCTAACAATGGCTTTTCTTACCACCGTTTTTTTCAGTGTAATGAGTTGATACATTTTTTAATCTGTCTTATTTACAACTTTAAATATTAGGGTTATAGGGGAATTTTATATAGGGCAGCTATAAAATAACAATAAAAATAACTCAGACTCATTAATATATAGTCATGACTTCAACCTTCATGAACATTCAGGAGCCAGTCATGGTTGGAAGTAGATGATGCTGAATAAAATAGATGTGGTAATTACATGACAGTGTTATCACTGCCTTTCACATGCCTATAAAGCATCTAACAGCATGTTAAACCACTTATAAATTCCAGTTCTGTTACAAGCAGTGTTTCTGAACCCTTCTGAAACCTTGATCCACTGGGCAAGCAGATCTTTGTCGTTTTTTACCTTCTTTAATTTGTATCATGAAAAAGTGCATTGCATATTTTCATTTTTCAAAGGTACAATTGATTATAATAAGGAATATACTTTTTAAAATAAATTTATTTATTTACTTATTTATTTTTGGCTGAGTTGGGTCTTTGTTGCTGCGTGCAGTCTTTCTCTAGTTGTGGCGAGCGGGGGCTACTCTTCGTTGCGGTGCGTGGGCTTCTCATTGCGGTGGCTTCTCTTGTTGCGGAGCACGGACTCTCGGTGCGCGGGCTTCAGTAGTTGCGGCTCATGGGCTCTAGAGCGCAGACTCAGTAGTTGTGGCGCATGGGCTTAGTTGCTCCGCGATGTGTGGGATCTTCCTGGACCAGGGCTCGAACCTGTGTCCCCTGCATTGGCAGGCGGATACTTAACCGCTGCGCTACGGTTAGCGCCCCAAGGAATATACTTCTTAATCCCTCCTCTCTCAGTAGAGAAGCAGTCAGGTCCAAGTCCTCTGTAATATCAAATGTCAAACTTTAAAAGTACTTTGCATGTCTTAAAATGTAATGAGCTTTAAAAGGTAATTAATAAATAGCTAAGGGATTTAGTTTCCCTGAGTATCCCCAACTGACAGCTCTGTAAGAGTTGTCAGACTATTTTTTTAATTGTTCCAGCTTGCCTCATTAAGACAAAAGGATGGCTTCATCCTGTGACCCTCGTAATGGCTGTCATATCCTGGCAGCAGGCTCAGGGAAGTAGGTAGTTGTCATCCACCTAGGAGAGATTGGAGAGTCCCAGGAGATGAGCCCTTCCCCATAGTCCTTCTCCCATTACTGTGCCACTTCATTGCTTGCTGCTGAAATACAAGGGCTGCAGAGAACATTGAAATGCGCACTACGCTGGGATTTAGAGCCTTGGATTTTAATCCTGTGTGATTTTGGGCAAGATTCTTAACGTTTTGAAACCTAAGATTCCTCATTTGTTAAATAACGGGTGAGGCATGTTCACTAAATGACCTCTAAAGTCCTTTTTTTCCCCCCTCGAAATAGAAATTTTTTGTTGTTAATCCATGACCTTTGACCAAAAAAACAAAAAAACTGGGCTTCCCTGGTGGCGCAGTGGTTGAGAGTCCGCCTGTCGATGCAGGGGACACGGGTTCGTGCCCCGGTGCGGGAAGATCCCACATGCCGCGGAGCGGCTGGGCCCGTGAGCCATGGCCGCTGAGCCTGCGCGTCCGGAGCCTGTGCTCCGCAACGGGAGAGGCCACAGCAGTGAGAGGCCCGCGTACCGCAAAAAAAACAAAAACAAAAACAAAAACCGCAATAGAAAGAAATCCATCCTAGTCCCCACTCTTAAAATTCCTTTCCCCTGAAATAGCCACAGTTTGGGGGAGTATATTCTTACCATCTTTTAATGCACATACTGTGTAGAGGGATTATCTTTTACATAAAAGCTATACATATTTTCATCTTATTTTCTCTGATTTAAGCTCATAACAAAATGGTTTTTATTTATATGTTTTAAATAAAAATTATATATATTTAAGGTGTGCAATATAATTTGATATGCATAGTGAAATGATTACTACAGTCAAGCTAGTTAACATACCATCTTTTAAAATTTATTTAATTAATTTATTTGGTTGCTCTGGGTCTTTAGTTGCAGCAGGTGGGTAGCACACGGGCTCCTTAGTTGTGGCATGCAAACTCTTAGCTGTGGCATGCATGTGGGATCTAGTTCCCTGACCAGGGATCAAACCTGGGCCCCCTGCATTGGGAGCACGGAGTCTTAACCACTTCCCCACCAGGGAAGTCCCAACATATCATCTCCTTTTATAGTTACCACTTTTTGTGTGTGATGAGTGCACATGAAGAGTAATGCTCCTCTCCTAGCCTATTTCCAGTGTTGAATACAATATTATTAAGTACAGTCATCATGCCTATACATGAAATAGCTGGACTTATTCCAAACTTTGAAATGATGCAGAAAGACATAAAGTAAACCATAATCCTTCTCCTCTTTCCAAAGATAACCATTGCTAAGGAAGTCATCTGAAACTGATTTTTTAAGAACAAATGTGTGAATTGAAACTTGTAAATGTTATCTGGCAGGAGAGTGTAAATCATCGAGTTTTGAGATACATATTTTGGTATAGTAGTATAAAGCAATTTCTGTTTTAGGACACAAGTCTGGCACATTTTGAGTGCTAATGGGATGGGGTGGAAGAAGTTACATGTCTGCAGAGGGAGATGCCTGGGGGTCCTGTGTGAGGTTTTGGACAGGAACCTTAGACAGGAGGGAGGTGTAGACAAAGCAAGGAGGGATGGAACACCAGTGGCAAACTTTCTGTCAATATTTGGGTACCCTGGTCACTTTTACAGAACTCCATTTCATTCTGAATTGAATTTTTTTCCAATTTCTTCCTTACATACTTTTTGATATGATCTTCACTGTGCTGTTCCTGAAGAATGGCTTCCTATCGGTATTTTAAGCATTTATGTTTAAGAATTTAAAGTTTTAGTATGAGAAACCCATAATCAATTTTTTAATACTTTTTTAGTTTTCAAAATTTTATTTGACTGTAGTAAGAATACTAAACATGAGATCTACCCTTTTAACAAACTTTTAAGTGTAGAATACAGTGCTGTGAACTCTAGGCACAGTGTTGTACAGCAGATCTCTAGAACTTATTCACCTTGCACCGTTGAAACTGTATGCCCGTCGATTAGTAATTTCCCATTTCCTCCTCAACCTCCGGAAACCACCATTCTATTCTCTGATTCTATGAGTTTGACTGTGTTAGGTACCTCTGTGATACAGATTTGATGTATGCTGTTTTTCAGCCCCTTATCTCTACTTTTCTGCCATCACTTCATTGTTGGCCATAATGCTGGGCTGGAGAGAACATTGGTGTTCGGCTTTATCTCTGACTCACTGGGGCGCTTGAGGCAGTCACCTTGCCTGACTTGGCCTCACTTTGTCTACTTCTGAAAGGAGTGTGTCCAGTCTTTGGATATCTAAACTCCTCAAGGTTTAGTTTCTCAATTTCCTGCAAAAGTTTCTTTATTTCCTCACTAACTTTTAAGGTTTTGGTATAAGTTAGACTTGATTAACCTTTTGGTGTAATAACCATGTAAGAAAGTACTTATATGTTTATTAATGTTGTAAATGTTTGGATACATTTGTTCACACTATAATATCTTAACTTTTTTGAAAGTCATGAGTAAAATGGCTCTTCGAATGCCTTTTAGCAGTTATCCCTGGGACTTACACGATCGATATGCTCAAGATAAATCAGTTGTAAATAAGATGCAGCAGAAGTATTGGGAAACGAAGCAGGCCTTTATTAAAGCCACAGGGAAGAAGGAAGACGAACACGTCGTTGCCTCCGACGCAGACCTGGATGCCAAGCTGGAGGTGAGCGCTTCATTGCCCTCAGCCCCAGCACAGCCACCTTGCTAGGCTCAGGGTCTGAGAATGTATTCACGGGGGCAAGCATAGGTGTGCTTTGTATTTGAAAACATACTGCAAACAGCTAGTTCATAAGGAAAATCTAGGATCAGATTAACTCAATCCCAGCATATTTTTTAAAAACCCACAAATTCTCCTGTAACCCCCAGTATGCCTCAGTTAATTTGTTTTTCAAGCACTTCGTTGGAATGCATGGAATGTGGTAAATTCTCAATAAATGTTTGTTGAAAAACATTAATGCACTCTAAGAGCCATTGCCAGTGATAGCAACACTAGGGTCAGGCAAATGTTTACATTTAGAAAAAAAAGAAAACAGGATGACGGCAAAAGATCCTGGAAAGTGAGTCTAATAAGCTTGTATTGAATCCTGGAAAATTCTAGAATTGAATTAACCAATATTTAGTTAGACTAGTTAATAATACAGTAAGCTGAATTCATATCTGAATAATCCTTGAATACTAGTACAACTGGTTAAAGGCCCACTAATTGCCTGATTGCTGGACATTCTGCCAGTACTTTAGATCAGAATTTAAAAAGCATTTGCTGTACAGCAGAAACTAACACAACATTGTAAATCAACTATACTCCAAGAAAAATTAATTTTAAAAAACCCAAAATTTAAAAAGCGTACTTAGCACTGTATGTGTTCAACATACAACATTCAACACTGTGAATGACAGGGCACAGAGAGAGATAACATGTCACGTGGTCTGATAAGAATTCAGAATGATATCTAAATTTAATACATAAGCTAAAGTTACTGAGCTGAACACTTAATGAGACAAAAATCAAAAGCTCGAGATTTCATAAAGCTTTCTGAGAAGGGTGACCAGGGTGGTGCAAGCCATGGTTATTCTGGAACAGAGAGGTTGAGGGGAAATATGTTAATTGTCAGTTCTCTGGGAAGGCCTGTCTTGTGGAAGAGGGATAAGATTCATTCTGTGCATCTGACGGTAGAACCAGACCCAGGGCCACTATTCATAGTACTCATCTCTCATGGAATTATCTCAAGTGTCTGTCTGTTTGCCTGCCTTCCCTCCACCAGGGGGTCAGATTCCATGACACTCAGTGCACATTCAGTAAGTATTAACTGTATAAGCGTACGTGTTAATGCAGTTAAGATGAGTTCCCAACCCTTTCTCCTGTCAGTGGAATTGTTCTAACAGAAGCTGGGTTTGACAGAGATGTTCCAGCAGAGATTGCTTCAACGGAGAAAAGTAGAGCCAGGAAGCCTCTATTCTGATTTTAGTATTCTAAATAGAATTGAAATGATTATAAGTTGCATATGCTTTTCACATCTTCTAGATTTATCTTTTTTTCCTCTTAACAACCTAGTAAATACAAGCATTACTCAAAAAGTAATTGAATATGTTATTTTCTAGCACGTGAAACACAATACAGTCATTTTATGTTTATATTTAGGTTCTTGCAGAAGCGTTTTCACCAAACCAACTGTACTTTAATCAAAATACCTGCTGTCCTAGGCACATAGCATCCAAAGTACTTAACTGTGACTAATCATTTTACACATGATAAAGATTTCTGTTGCAGGAATGTTTTAATACTGATGTTGATGTTTATAGAGAAGGAGAATGAATTCCACCAATAAAGCATATGAAAACGATGTGCAGACCATTTTGATGTGCTTTTCAACTAAGTTATCCATAGAAGACTAGCTGATGAAACAAGAACTTGTATTCTGCTGGCAAAGAAAGCTTGTATGCCAAGCTGTAATGATGGTCAGATTCTATTACAGTCTGTTGGGAAGCTCATGTAGAAATGTTCACTAAGTTTAAATATTTGTCAGAATTGCTTGTTAATGAAATCATTTTCTGAAAAACAGCTCTTAAGTACAAGAACCGACAAAACTAACCTGTGGTGACAGAAGTCTTTTAGTGGTTGCCACAGCAGAGCAGACTGACTAGATAGTGGAAATGTTTCTTATCTTACTTTGGGTATGATTACAAGAGTGTATACAATTGTCAAACTCACAGAACTGAACTCTCCAGAGGTGTGCATTTTATTGCATTTAATTTATACTTCAGTTTTTAAAAAGTGAACAGTAACAGCAGAATAGCCCTTGAACATACTTTTTTTAACGTCCTTGCTCCTGTGTTCAGGAATGTGTTGATAGTTTGTGACCCAGAATACTGTTATCAAGCATTTGTTAAGGAACATACTCAGACTGCTGATTTTCTGTTTTGTTTTATGGTAAAGGGTTTTTGTTTTTTCCCTAAATAGGTAGAGGAGGAAGTGTAATGACATGAGATTTAGTAAAATTTATACTTTACATGACCAAGATTTATCATATTAAGCATTCATAGGAATGGTTTTTAATCTTTCAAGTATATATGCATGCATTCATTTTTATTAGAACATTTGATCATTTATAACATGAAGCCGATCTTCTATTTTGATCCAACTGTGAAGTGCTTTGTAGTACTAGGGCATAATTGCTACATCACCATGGCCAGTAAGCCAGGGAAGAGAGAAGAATCCCTTGCCCTGCTTCCTCAGAGGCATAATGTTTGTCTGCCAGGTTTTCTAATTGATAGCAGCCCTGGTCTCTGAGTCGGTGGACAGAGGATGGAGAAAGTGTGAAGTCTCTGCTCTGTCTTCTGTTTTTCTTTTTAAATTTTTTTGGAGTATAGTTGGTTTACAATTGTTCTGTCTTCTTTTGAACTGTCTCCATTTCTGAAGCAAAGACCAGAACCACCATAAGTTAAAATCTAGTGAGATTCTTCTCCATACAGCCCACCTGCTTTTCCCTTAATTTTCTCTGTTATGGCCATAGCATGACATTAGGTTTCTTCTCTGTATATTTTATGAAATAATTGGGAAAATAATGAGTGATAGGAGCTGCTAGCTAAACTCCGTTTTACCAGACCTCTTCAAAGCAGACAGAACATTCAGCTGATTGATATTTGTTTGTTTTTATAGAGTTGTTTAAGCCTGCCGTAAAATGCATTAGGATCACAAAGTAAGCTAATGTTGTGTTTTAAATAAGATGCTTAATTGACAGATCTTCCATCTGAAAAAAAAGACAGTAAGTGGTAAAAGAAATAAATTCGATTATGAAGGAATATTGGGTCTCTGGTTTACCAAGTCCTCTAATTGGGCCTCTCACTTAGGATTTCTGGTTTTCAGCTATTATTTCAATGTCTGGAGGAAATCATCCTTCTGCAGATCTCAATGTAGATTGCAGAGCTGATGAATTCTAATAAATATAGAAAAATAGGGGCATATTAAAAAGCTTTGGTCACATTTTCTGTTCAGTACACCACGTAACACCAAGCTCATTTAGGCATACGATCTTGTTTTTAGTGGGCAAATCAAATGCTATGGTTATATTCAATATAATTTGTTTTTTATTTCACTGCTGTCTGTTTTGTTTAGCATTTTGTTTGTATTTTTATTATAGCTGTTTCACTCGATTCAGAGAACCTGTCTGGACTTGTCTAAAGCAATTGTACTCTATCAAAAGAGAATCTGTTGTAAGTATGCCATAAGTGTGACTATTGACCAAATAGACAGTAAGAAATTGGATATTTTGCCTTAATATATAATTTTATATGTTTAGAAAGCAAGACAAGGAAACTACTGTTTAGGAGTGTCTGTCTTTGCTCTTTAATTGGTGGGGTGGGGTCTTTAATCATTTTATCAGAAATTCTTTACATAGGCTGTTTTTCAATGCAAATACCATAACAGAAGAATTTTACATTGAGTCTACCATGGATAAGTACGTGCCATTTATTTTCCTAATTATAAAAAAGTTTTTTCAGTTTTATATCTTGGGATTTGGCATTGTTTTTATTTGATTGCCCAGGCTCTCTTATGTCCAATTTTGTTCCTTTTAAAATGACCAAATGGAGAGAGAAGGCAACAGTTAATTCATTGACTATATTTTGTTGACAGCGCTTCTTCCTGAACATTTTCTATGTCAGATATTGGGTTTTTTAGGGAACAAGATTTTCCTGTCGTCATCCCATCTTAAAATAATTACCAACAAAGTTGTCTCTGAAATACTAAATATCAAGTTGTACGTTAGTATGTTTTTAAATTTCCATTTGTAGGTCATTTAAGAGTACAATTTCTGTATTTCTGAGACTAAACTCTGAGAAGTTTGTTTCTGACTACTGCCAAACCCCTTTCCAGTAATCACAAATTAACAGTTGGGCATTTTCCTTCATTAGTAAACTTTTATGAAGACTGTTTTTCGGAATTACAAAATCCTAGGACTTAGAGGCAGAATTTTGTAAATTACCTGTGTTACTATTTACTAAGTGTTTGAGCTAAGACTTCTCCAGGGCTAGAACTCCATAGTCTTGGTTATGAGGAATCCAGACACATGACACACTGCCCCCAACATTCCTCTGTCCCATATCCAGTCAGCCACAAATGCTGGTCCATGTTGTCACCTACTTTGCTTTCAGATTCTCCCTGCTGTACCTCTTCACAGCCACCGCCTTAGTTCAGGCCACCATCAGCACTCTTACTTGGTTTGCTGCATCAGCTTCCTAACTGATCTCCCTGCCTCCACTTTTTCCTTCTCCAGCCCACCATCTGCACTGCAGTCAGGGCGCAGTCAGCAATCTCCCAGAGCTCCCAGTGGTCAAAGCTGGGACAATTTGAGCAACAAAGTAAATAACTGATTGTATTAGGTTAGAGCCCATGAAGTAAGATAAATGTCCATTAAGTGTGTATGGAAATAAACAAAATAACAAACTGATATTTTCATGATACTAAGTCTTCCTATCCAGAAACATAGTTTATATCTTTTTAGTTGGGTACTCTTGAATACTGCTGCACAGAGTTTTAGAATTTTTCCTTTACAGGTATTGGGTATCATTTTTTGGATTTATTCTTATGCACGTAATATTTCTTTGATACAGTTCTAAGTGGAATCCCCTCTTTAATTATGTTTTCTATATTTTTGCTGCTGGAGAATAAAAATATATCTGACTTTTGTGTTAAGCTTATATCCATTCACATTATTAAATGCTGCTATTATTTCTAAGAAAAAAAAAAATGGGGGAGAAGAGACAGTTCTTGCTTATAAAATAATTGCAATTAATAAATCTAGAAAGAATGAGGGAACCACAGCATCACCATTAGGTAAATACTACAGTAAGAACTGTGGCAGGCAAGATTCACTGAAAGATGTTTTAATTAGTGAGTGAAAGTTTGAGGAGAAACTGGACCTTTACATAGTCTTCTGTATTTACCCCCCAAATTTTTAATAATTACAAAAGGAAAAAATCATAATTTTACAGTGGGGAAATCCAGTAGACATGACATGAACCAAATGATGGAGGTTAACACCGTCAGTAATAATGTGTGTTGATCTCCGGTAGCCCTGATATGAAACAGTAAGGAGGGCACTCCACCTCTGCGGTTTCCTTCCCCCAAGTCTGTAACCCCAGTCTAATCATGAGAAAGTAGACAAACCCAAGTTGAGGGACAGTCCACAAAATTCCTGAGCAGTACTCTTAAAGGGCGGCAAGGTCATAAAAGACAAAAAAGCCTGAGGAACTGTCACAGGTTGAAGGAGACTAAAGAGGCTTGACAACTCAATGTGGGATCCTGGAAAAGAAAAAGGACATTAATGGGAAAACTAGGAAAATTCAGTAAGATTGTGGTTTAGGTAGTGGTATTGTACCAATGTTATTTTCCTAATTTTGATCCTTCTACCATGGTTATGTAACATTAGGGGAAGAAGGGTACGCAGGAACTCTGTATCCTATTTACAATTTTTTCTATCAGCCTAAAATTATTTCAAAATAAAGGTTTCTTGAAAATGTACATTGGGGCTTCCTTGGTGGCACAGTGGTTAAGAATCCGCCTGCCAATGCAGGGGACGTGGGTTCGAGCCCTGGTCCAGGAAGATCCCACATGTCGCGGAGCAGCTAAGCCCGTGCGCCACAACTACTGAGCCTGTGCTCTAGAGCCCGTGCTCTGCAGCAAGAGAAGTCACCACAACGAATAGTAGCCCCCGCTCACCGCAACTAGAGAAAGTCCACGCACAGCAAGGAAGACCCAAAGCAGCCAAAACTAAATAAATAAAATAAAATAAATTTATTTTTAAAAATAAATAAAAATGTACATTGGATCATATTGCTTCTCTGCTGAAAAGCCTCCAATAAGTACTTAAAGTAAGATGTATACTTCTACTCCATGGCTTACAAATTCCTACACAATCTGACCCAGTTCACCTCTCCAGCCACTTTTGCTCTTACCCACGATGTGACCTGAGGCCTTTTGCACTCACTGTTTCCTCCATCTGGGATGTCCCTGCCATCATTGTCTCTAGTGGCCCCGTATCCTTCAGAGCTCAGCTTAATGGTCATCTGCTCAGAGATGCCTTCCCTGACCGCCCAGCCCAAAGCAGCTACCAATCACTCTCTCTTACTCGCCACCCTCCCGCCCCCAATCTGGGATTTTTCTTCTTGTGTTTTGAGTTTGTTTTGAGTTTTGTATTTTTTATTTTCTGTCTGCTGCCGCTTGAACATAAACTGCATCAGAGCAGGGTCCTCGTGTCTTGTCCATCTCTTTATTCCCAGTGACAAGAACAGTGCCTAGTACATATGAGATCATCCATAAATTTGTGCTAAGTGAATTAATGCTGCCAAGCTAATTGGTTTTGTAGTTCTTTGGTTCCCTTATCAGGGCACATCTGAAAATCTAATTAGGAGTTAAACATGAAAAGATTTTTATTTGTCTCTGAATTAAGTCCCAATTGAGTGAAACCTTATAAGTAGAAACATTTGAGTTATCTGATACCTGTATTGCACCTGAATTTTAAACTTCTATAAATTTATTTCAGTATTTGAGTTTTAAAATTAAAATTAAGGAATGAACATCCCTTCTTGGAAGATGACACAGTCATCACTAAGTCATCCAACCTGTAGCCTGATGCCACTCAAACTTTTTCCACCACCCTCTGAGCAGCGCTGCCCATTACCAGATTCCAGCTCTTAAAATGAAGCCTGTCTTTCCAGTCCAAGTTTAATCCTCAAGTGTGTAAAATAACCAAAAATGGATTCTCAAGTACTTCAGTCTACTTAGGTTTATTTAGGAAAGAGTACATTTCACCACCCTTGTAGTCATTCAGGTACCATGAATTGGTTTCTTCCTAGCCTTAAGTTCATGTGTTCATTTGTACGCGACTTGAGGTTTCAAGGTAAAAAAGGTGACAGTAGCCTCATACTGTTACAAACAAAAGTGTGAAATTTTTCCTTATTGTGCAGTTGAGTCCCATATTAGTAAGTGGAGAGGAGGAAGAATGGAAGGTATTAAAAAACAACAAAGCTTCATATAATTATAGGAATTTAAAAAAATTACCTAGAACCAGGACATAAGTATCAGATAAATATTTAGAGTGAAGTATACAGCGATAACAAGGCAAAAGTTATAGTTAGTTCAATTTCACAAGCATTTAATTAGTGCCCTGAATAAGACTCTATGCTCAGTCTTGGGAATCCATAGTTTGGATGAGGTCCCTGTCCTGAGAAAGCTTAGGTTCTCACGGGAAAGATAGACACGTTGCCCACCCACGGACACCCCAGTACCAGGTGCCGAGAGGGCGCTGCTGTCACAGAGAAAGAGGGATCACCTGCTTCACAGAGGAAGTAGCTAGGCTTTAACCAATGAACCTGATTTTGAGAAACAGAAGAGGAAGGAGGGTAGTCACTGACCATCAGGAAGAATGGATTCTAAAGCCTCTTCTCCGTGGAATGTTGAGTGTAAGCTAGTCACAAATTAATAAGGAAGCAGTCGTAGCTTTAACCTTCACTTTTGGATTCTTGGTTCCTGGCTAATGTTTTACAGCTGTTGTTGGGGGGATAGTGTCAGGAATGGGATGCATTCTGAAAGAAGTCTGGATTGTTCATGAAAGCAGACAAGAATCCTGGTAGCGTTTAGAAAGCATTTTTAGAGACAAATGATTGGTAAATGCGTCAGTACAGAAATGTGAAATAAGAGTAGTGTTCAAAGTGTGTCCCTAGCAAAGTCTGTGTTCAGAGAAAAACCATTCTGGGAAGCTCCGTGTCTCTGCCTGTGGCTCAGCTGTTGGTGAATGTGTATTCGGACCAGTAGCTGCCTAGCAGCCCATGCATCCATTGTGTGGATGCACTGCATTGATCAAATCAGTCCCCAAGGTAGGGAAAGAGAATGTTTTGCTACTATAAATAGCTAGGCTATGATTATATCTGTATATACATCTTTGTGCCCATTTTACTACTTCCTCGGGACGTAGTTTACTCCTAACAGAAGTACAACGTCAAAAGATGTGTACAATTCTGACTTTTTAATATTTACTGCCAGATCAGTCTGTAGAGAGCTTGTACCAGTCACTTTCTCACCAATAGCACCCTCTGAGGTTGTCTTTAAAAAATAAGGCCAAATATATGCAAATATTGAATCATTATGTTGTACGCCTGAAACTAATGCAATGTTGTATGTCAGTTATACCTCAATTTTATAAAATAAGAACAAAGAGTAAGGTCAAGATTAGGCATTAGCAATTCAGATTGGGTTCCAGCCCTGCATTTTAAAAATGCACCAAGTCACCAACTTGATTACCTACATACCCTCAACCTCCACCCCCTGCTCCAGCCAAGACCTATGCCATGGATAAGGTATTTGAATTGCTTTACAATCAAGTGGAATGTAACTCAGAAAGCAGGGATCAAGAAGTCAGGAAGAGGGAATAATAGGGGGAAACTGGCCCTACATTATAGGCAGCCACAAAAGATTCCCACAGTCATACTTGACAGACCCAACTCTTTTATTTCAGCTCGAAGCAGCACATTATCAGCTCGCTTTTCAGTACAGAGGTCATTTTCTGGTTCTGATTACAGAGCACCAAACGCACTGACAGATGCACTCAAGTGAATTTGATCTCTCGTTTCGTAAATGGAAGAACAGCATGAAAGTTAAATGCGGTGGAGGCTTACCTTGTAGCCTTCCACTTGGATTTAATTTCGTCTCGTTTTTGCCTCTAGAAGAGAGAGGACCTTGTGATTTGTCTCTCTCCTCTCTGTCATAAAAATGTTCATTGTGCATGACTCCTTTTGGTCTTTTCTCCATCAGTCTTGTCTCAAGAAGAAAACGAACTGGGAAAATTTCTCCGATCCCAAGGCTTCCAGGATAAAACCAGAGCAGGAAAAATGATGCAAGCGACAGGAAAGGCCCTCTGCTTTTCTTCCCAGCAAAGGTGTGTGGCCTGCGCTGGGGCTCTGTTGTTGGGGGAGGTCTCCTGAGAACCTGGGACCCACTCATTCATGAAGGGAACCTCCTACTGGGAGCTCCTCTGTTCACGGTTGTTCGTCTGTTCGTACTTAACTCTGATTCAGATAACATGTATAGTCTTTTTCCTTCCCTATTAACTTTTAAAAAATGTTTTCCTATTTCTTCTGGTCTATAGTTATACCCCAGTCACTGTGAGTGCTATCCTAGGCTTCTATTTGACCTTCAGTGTTCCTCATAGCAATCCATCCAGTCCCCTTCCAGCAGCTGACTAAAGCAAGAGCCTAATGAGACCAGGCAGAAGGGCTCCCCGAGTGCCCTCTGGGGGCAGTTAACTTGAGAGGGGTGCTGTTCAAGATGCCCTCCGCGGTTCTGCTCAGACCCTTGATCAGCAGCATCAAAAGCCTCACCTGAGAGTTTGTTAGCGATGCAGAATCCAGGCCCCACCCCAGAATTACTGAATCCAAATCTGCATTTTAATGGGTCCCCAGTTGTTTTCCATGCACACTCAAGTTTGAGAAGCTCTGGTGCAGAGAAAATTGTAATAGATCAGTGATTTCTTTTTTAACACTACCATAACTTACGTTCAAGGTCCATGTAGAATAAACAGGAGCCACTGCACAGAGTCACACTTTGTATCTGAGAAGGTGACATTCCTTCTCTCCTCCTCCTTCCCCAGTAACTAACAAGCCCCCCCAAATGTCAGTCACTAATATTAGGCAGACTTTATACCTAAGTAAGGCTTGTAGGTAGTCTCCAAAAATATTCGGGCCACAAAAATTTCACTCACCCAAACTGTCCAACATTTTCTTCTGCTGTTAATTTTTCCTCACCGCTTTCTCTCCCAGTGGGCCAAAAGCAGGCCACCACCTGTTATACATGTGTTCCTATGAAGATCCAAGAAAGGTGGGGTGGAAAGAAAGAGAACCAAACATGTGCATTTTTCAGTGGTTCCCCCTCCTGAGCATTCTGGTTCACTCTAATGACATTTGGACCCCAACTTTCATAGTTGAATGCAACAATTTCCAATAGTTCTCTACCCCAGTTTTCCAAGAGAAGCGTTGGTTTATAATCTTTAATTGCACCTTTTAATCTTATTTATAACTGTTTTCCTTGCAAAAATAATACATACTCATTCTAGAAAAATTTTAGAACAGGAACAGACCAAAAGGAGAAAATTAAAAACAACCCAAATTTTGCTAATAGAGATTCACTTGCTTTTAACCCCTTGATAGATACTTTCAATGCATATATGCTTGCCCAGTCTTACAAGGATCATTGATTCTTGAAAAATCTTTAATAAATTCTTATATATTTATTTATAAATATATAAGCATTATATATTTCTTAAATTATACATATAATTATCACTAATTTCAGTGGGAAAAATTCTTATACATATCTTCATGCCAAGATTACCATCCATTTATGGGAAACAAGCCAAATCCTTGGACACAATCACCACAAGAGTTACTGCTAGTGATCATATAATTATTTTATAATGTTGCTATCCAGTTATACACTTTCATAGTTTTGTACAAAGTTATCTCACAAAACATATGGTACCTTAAGTTTATATAGTCTAACCTTTGGATACAGACAAAAACAGTAAAAGAAATCAACCAAAACAATGTAAATGATACTGTAAACCAGCAAACTGCCCTGTATCCATAAATTAATGTAGCTTGGACAGCTTGCAATTTGGAAGGTGGCCTCCTGCAAGATGACTCTGATTCCATGGTACTCAACTGCTCACGAGGCACATGAAATCCAAACTACTTCTCTGCACATGAGGAAAGTAGGAAGATTACATAAAACTCCCATAAAGTTGAATTCTCAAACCTCGAATGGACATAATTTGGGGTTTTCCAGAATATATTTTTAATATAAACAGCAGCTTACCATACAATTTTTGAATAGTATTGCATACTGATTATTTAGCAAATTGATTTTTTGTTCAAATAATCCTAACTTTTTTTATGTCCATGTATACCTTTTTAAAAACGTCCATAGCATATTATTCCATTATCTGGGCATGCCATGATACGTTTAACCCAAGCCCTTTGTCCGCTAGTGTCCACTTCTACCTTTTCCTACTAAAGAATAAAACGTCTTTGGATTAGACCTTTAGGTGCTTTATTAATTATTCCCATTGGGTAGATTTTAGTGAATGGAAACGTGGGCCAGTCTTTCACTGAAGTTTGATGTTTCCAGTTATTGGATTTTTTCTTGGTCTAGACTCAGTCTCTTATACCACAAGTGAATGGGTTTTCACCTTTCTGATTTTATATGAAACAAGTTACAGAAAAACATGAGGTGACTTTATATGCCTCTTTCTTTTCTTCAAGATCTGAACACCTATCATCATGTCATTATATCTTCAAAGGTTTCTAACTTTATAACAGTCAAAGAAATCAAGAATATTTTATTCACAAGACTCTGTTTCAGCCAGTTTAGGAAAATTGGCAAACTCTAAAGGAAGAGATAAAGGAGACCAGAAATGAACAGGATTCTTAGAGGAACAGCTGAGGACTCTTTCTTTAAATAGAAGTCTCCAATTTTATAAACCTTCATACCAGCATTTGTTTTACTGACTTATTTGGTAGTCATTGCTACAACAGCCCATTCAGTTTGATGAAAAGTGAGTATTAAATTTAATCCAATGGTGATAAAACACAAGCTTACTTTATGGCACAACAATATGTTTTTGAAAACAGCCTGCAACATCTAGGTAGGATGATGTGAGCAAGCTATTTTTAGAGAAGTGCTGAATATTTAACAATGATGCTTTACAGATAAGAGGAAAACCAGAGAAAATAGTAAAAGGAATTTTTTTCTTTTAAACAGTTTATTGCCCCATCTATAACCTTAGAGTGCTCTGCATATGTCTTCAGACATTGATGGAACTGCCAAGAGCTGACTTCAGCTCACTGACACCACTTTTCCCTTCACCTTAACAAGTTTGCACTTAAATTGAGATGTAAATACTAATCTTTTATTTTTTGAACCTATGCCCCACAGCTTCATGGAGACTGCTGTATTTTAAGAGTATAATTCATCTGACATTACTCATTTGAGGGAGGAAGATGAAAGAAGCGCTATCCTCCTTCCCCTCCCAAATAAATATTTTATCCAAAGTTTGATATGCATCAAACAATTTTTGCTGAATAAATAATGCTATGTTATGACCAGTATTATAATTATTTTATACCCACTTCGTTGTATAATATGCATTCATTTCTGGTGTAGTATCCTTAAGTTTGTTTTTTGTTTTTAAATAAGAATCAAATCACATAACCTATCTGAAAGTGCCTAACACAGTAGACCCTCAGTAAATGTACTTCTCCCACTTCCTAGACCATTTAAAGATGCTTCTGTTCGTACTTCATTCTCTGTGACTATTGAAGCAAGCAGCAGATGCCCTGGCCTTTGGAGAGTGATCCAGAATGGCCTAGACAGGGAGACCTCATCCTGCACACATCCATGCCTTCCCAAAGAGCCAGGCTTCAGGGAGGCAGAGGGCAGGGAGTGGCCAAGAAATGGGAAATAGTCATGCCTTGACCTTCCTCCGTTAACACAAGATTGGTTCCAGCTTTAAAGAAGTACTCTGCCCGGTCATGAGGCCACCCCCAACAATACTGATGGAGAGACTCCCCAGTGATAGTTAAGTAACAGTAATCTAAGGGATCAGCACATGGATAATCATCTCTGATTGACTCATCAGTTCACATACTTTTCAGTTATAGTTCAGCAAGTATTTCTGCAGCCTCGGCCATGTTTCAGGCGCTATTCTAGGCTCATGAGTTTAAGACTGGTAAGCTCTCAAGGATTCAAATTGCTGGCCCTCTTAGTTTCACTATTGTGGCTTTACCCTCTTGTCTAGGTTGGCCTTGCGAAATCCTTTGTGTCGCTTTCACCAAGAAGTGGAGACGTTCCGGCATCGGGCCATCTCGGACACTTGGCTGACTGTGAACCGCATGGAGCAGTGCCGGACTGAATACAGAGGGGCGTTATTATGGATGAAGGATGTGTCCCAGGAGCTTGATCCAGACCTCTACAAGCAAATGGAGAAGTTCAGGAAGGTAGGAGATTTCATGAGGGTTAACAAAAGGGGTACCTGCTGGAAGGTAATGAGATGTGATTTGAATCCCTCTAGTAAAGAAGATGTAAATCAAAAGCACCAAGGATGCAATTAATCATTGCTGGTGTCTCTTTACGTGACAGAATACCAATTAATGTGATCTATAATTCTCTAAGGATAAGATAGAAGAGACAGCTGGAAATTGCTGGGATTTAGTAACTGGTTTTAATTAAAGTCAGATTTTCATGTAATGTGCACTTTTTGTAAGGCTGTCACTTGTAGATGCTTCTTCATGCATAACTAAAAATCAAGATTAGACCAAATGAAACCGGAAGGTAAGAACAGACTATTGGGGAAATCCTTTTTAATTGCTAATGAATATTAAAATTAATAGAGTAATAATGCGCCTTTGTTGCGTTTAGTTGTAGGATTAAATAATGTGGCATTGACTCCATCTGCAGCAGACCCTTCAGCTATTTGTATGGGCAAAATAGATAGCTGAGGAGATGGATATGCTCTTAAATTTCCCTGAAATGACTGGTGAGCAGCAGAGGAACAATGTTTCATTGTGTGTTTAAGTGTCCGTGTTCATTTAGCTGTTTGGAGATTTGGTCCTGCGAGGATACATTGCACCACTAGGTGGCAGTCATACACTGAATATTTATGAAAATGCAGCGAGATTTTTGTGTGTCTGTGTGTGTGTGTGTGTGTGTGTGTGTGTGTGTGTGTATAACCTTGGTAGGTCTTTGTTTGGTCGACTTGGATATATTTCAGGGTATGAAAGACCAAAAAATCAAGCAAATGTTAGGTTTGACATAATATTGTGTCAATTGTCTAACTCATTTCAAATGATCCATTTGTAATTGCGGTATTGCTTAAAATACCTAGATTTCACATTGCAGAGCTGTGAATGGGAAACCCTGCTGGTGTGCAGGAGGTTAGATGTGTGGGATGTGGGAGGTTGGGGGGAATGTGTGGAGAGGGGGAAAAGAGGGACCTTCTGTTGCTTAATAATAGGGTCACCAATTGTTGACCCAGGTATTAGATTGACACAAATTCTTTTAAAAGGAAAGTTTTACTTTGGTTTGTAATTTAGAATCCATCTCTATGAAGGGACTCAGAGTCCATTTTCTTTCTGATCATAGATGGCATTAGTGTGTTAGCAATATCCAATTCCTTAGTAAGGCAGGTTTCTGAGCTCATGGAAAATCGGAACTGAGAAGTTCCTTAAAGATGAGCTAGTGAAACTCACCCATTCTATAAAAGAGAAAACCTTAGGCCCCAAAATAGTAAATAAAACTTTTCAAAGGTTGATCGCTAGATGTTGGCAAGCCCAGGCTACATTTGAAATTTCCTGACTTTTTAATCAGGCTGGTAATTTGGTTTGTCTTTGACACTTTATTTGGGGGTTGGAGGAGGATGGAGTGGAAAGGTTAAAAAAGGAAAAAGGAAACAAAAAACCCAACATTATCTGCAGGGTGTGATGCCAGTCACTCTCTATCTGTTACCTCATTTAAGCCTCACAATAACCAAGACACAGATTTTATTTTACAGAGGAGGAAAACGATACCTAAGTAACTAGCACAAGATCAGACAGGGAAATGAAAGTCAGAATCCTAGAAAATATGCATAATTTTTTCTTTAAGAGAGGAAAGGAAGGGAATTAAAGAACATACCTAAAATCGACGAAAGCATTTTCATAGTAACAACTCTCCTGTGATTTATTCATTCAACAAACATTTAGTGTGCACTTTCTATGTGCTAGGTAATAAAGTAAACATAAAATTATTTTGGAAGGCAGGAGAATTTCACGTGAAATTGTGTTTATTTGGTTTTGTTTTGAAGGGTGGTTACTAGCTGTGTAAGGATGAAATAAACCAAGCCCTTTGTCGTTCGGTTTGAATGTTGAAACATTACCCACTCTGTAGTGTCATCAATCTGTCGATTTTGGAAAATATGGGTTTTTTAAAAATAAAAAAAATCCTTTGCCATGCAGAAGTAGCTGAAGCAATGCCTTACTCCACAATCCCATGTGTGCTGGATTTAATTTAATAGCTGAACATGGTGTACTTAGAATTTAGAGAAATAATTTTTTAAAAGAAGTCTGTATTCAAGTGTATATTTGATTAGACTAGACTCTCCACAAGGACAGGGACACGGTTAGTTCTCTTTACTGCCACAATCCCAGGGCAAGCCCAGCACCTGGTCCAAGTTAGCACCCATATCAGATGGCCAGAAGCGAGCCATGGCATTTGAGTGCCAGATTCATGCCTTCTCACACCTGTAGAGCTTTCCCACCACATGCAACTGACCTTGCAATGTTTGGGAAATTGATATATACGGTTTTGCAGGTAAGAAGTAGCATTATTAGTTTGTGGCTTGCTGCCCTCTTTGGAATGAATTTAAATTGTGGAGGTTGCTATTTGCATGGAGTTCATAGCATGAATCTTAACTTTGAGTCAGCTTTAGTGTTTTGTCCCAGTGGGATTCCATTTTAAACAGAGTCTCCATTTATCTCTCAGGAAAGTGTTACTGAAATGTGTTTTCTGAGTCCTCTGGGAGAGTGGTCCAGCTCCTTTGGAGTCACCGTGGGAGGGGGAATTTAGTCTCCTCAGAGCCAGCTGCCTTCCTCACATTCTAACTGATGAATCCTGAACTAAATTCTGTTCTTTGGGTTCATACTTTCTGAGGAAACAACATTCTAATTCATACTTGGCAAGTGTGACACCCCGCCCCAGGCTGGTTGCAACCTTTAGTGTGCACTTATTCATTTATTCATTCATCCAGCAAATGATATTGAAGCCCACCTTGTGCCAGGCCACCTGCAGCGGGATATAGTAGTGAGTGAGCAGACACAGAGGCTGCCCTGCTGTTCCGGGCAGTCACTTGGAGACAGAGCAAGTAAACAGGGTGTGGTAAGGTGAACCGTTGTCTCAGGTAGCACATGGTACCACAGGAACACCCAGGGCGGGCTTCCTGGAGGAAGTGGCATCTAAACTAGCCCTGAAGGATGCGAGGGAAGGAGCAGGGCGTAGGGACTAGGAACAGCAGAGCAGAGTGCCAGTCTGAGGAAGCAACGTGGACAAAGGCCTTTAGGTGAAGGCAAACAGGATGAGATTAGCTCCTTTTAGATCCCTGCAACCAGAGTGTGAAAGGCAAAGGGGGTGGGGGGCAGATAAGCAGACCACAGCTGAAGGGACATCTCCCTGAGGGCCGAGGGGAATGAAGGGTGTTGAGAAGGGGAAGGGAATGATCCAATCTGTGTTCTCACAAGCTCGCTCAGATTTCAGTGGGGAGAAGGGATTGGAAGGGCCCAAGCCTTGAGGCTGGGCGAGCCACAGATGAGACAGGGATACCCAGGGAATGAAGAGGGAAGTGGACCAGAGAGAAATAAATGTCCTGTTCTGACCTCCGCCAGACTCAGTAACAGCACCACGTTAATTACAGAGCTCTTCATTCGTTTTTAGAAATGAGCAGAATAAGTATAAATAAATGAAGAGCAAGATCAAATGTACTTTCACTTACAACCAAGGCATTTTTCCTAGTGTTTTCAAGATGCTAAGCAACTTTTTAAATAACACGCAGTGAGCATGACCGAAATGATGAATGAAAAACTTAAAATTAAACAAAGCAAATGATCTGGTTTCATTCTGGCACCCTTTGAGCACATGGGCCCGATGACAGAGCTCTCGGTGGCAAGATTAGTAAGCATTTCTTTTCTTTTTTATTTTTTAAACATCTTTATTGGAGTATAATTGCTTTACAGTGGTGTGTTAGTTTCTGCTTTATAACAAAGTGAATCAGTTATATATATACATATGTTCCCATATCTCTTCCCTCTTGCGTCTCCCTCCCTCCCACCCCTCTAGGTGGTCACAAAGCACCGAGCTGATCTCCCTGTGCTATGCGGCTGCTTCCCACTAGCTAGCTATTTTACGTTTGGTAGAAACTTTGTCACAGCTTACCCTTCCCCCTCCCCATATCCTCAAGTCCATGCTCTAGTAGGTCTGTGTCTTTATTCCCATCTTACCCCTAGGTTCTTCATGACATTTTTTTTTCTTAGATTCCATATATATGGAATCTAAGCATTTATTAAGTGCCTATCTTTGGGGATGGAAATGCAAAGAGGTGGGAAAGCTTGATCTCAGCCCTCAAGAAGGACCCTGCTAGTCATCTGTTCCTTGTCAAAATTACCATGGTAAACAAGACACCTGGAGAGTGGGGCCGTGTGTAGCTCTTCTCCTGAAGACCAAATAATGGGAAATGGTGGATGCATTTAAATGGGCAGGGCTGGGCTGCTGTTGCCATTGGAAACGCTCCTGACAGTGTGATGCACCCCAGGAGGGAAATGGATGGGAGAGGAGGCCACAAAGTATTTTATGAGCAGTTACAACGTGTGATATATGTGCCCTTTGAAGGCAGAGTAAAAGGGTATAACTTAAAAATAGAAGTCAGCTTCTTGTAGCAGATTACATCAGCTTAAGTTGTGAGCTCACAGACGGGCTTTTGCAGCCTGATGCCCTTGAGAGGGTCCTCCTGGGGTCAGTTAAGTGTCTTGTTTTTCTTGAAAGTCAGAAATGGGATAGAGGGTAATTATTCTAAATGGAACAAAAGCTGTGCTAGGTGTAAGAAAATATTTCTGAATCCTCTAAAGTGATAATATGGAAATGTATATGTGGGCATTTGGATTAGTTGGAGTCCTTATAGACAAGGACAAGGGAACTGGCGTTTTAATGAGGGCCATTTATTAAGTGGCTTAATGAAATCCTACAGCATTTGTCTTGTGTTTCATCACCATAATTCAAAAGGGTATCAAAAAGGTATTGTAGGGAATGTGAAAGATCCACTGGTGTTCTCAGGCTTGTATCTATTTAAAAGAATGCTAGATTTTGGAGAGCTGTGAATTCGCTAGACATATTATCGAAGGGTATGTTACCGTGAGAAGGTTTGTTAACAAATGGTGGTGGCTTAATAGGTGCGGACATATTAGAGTCATCTGTC